GATTTTCCCCTTTTCGGAACATAAGGATTCTTTAAACCAGATGATATTTCGTAGCACTGTGCTGACTCGCCGTTTCTACGGCTGCGAAGATGCCGGCTTGCACGTGGCCATCCGCCACACGCTGACTTATCGCGCATCAACCTGTAAAGGCTTGCCCGCCAACGCTCTCGCCTCGCGGTCTGGCCGCAGCCTCGCTAAACTTGAGCTACCCGCGTGAGAACTCGCACCAATCAGTGTGACCCCCTTCCTGATCGGCTGCAGGAACAAAGCATGGTCTGGGTTTCCGACAATGCCCTACGCTCTCGTCACTTCAGACACAACCCACCGGCTTACGGACGTACGCTAGTCTGACAGTCAAATCTCCTCCTTCTTATTATCCACTCCTGTACAGGAAAAACTGTTCCTACTCACATCGACTCACACCTCTTCTCTTTTCCTAAGAAACCGGGCTTGAAGATCGCAGTGACAAGGGTTACTCTATTAACCTTATTTTTTCAATGGGTACTCCTTTAGTCTATTTGTATTTATCGGCCCACCCTTTACGACGGGTTACCAGTAATAGAAATGCAAGTGAGAGAGAGAGAGGGCGGACCTACCCGGCCCATTTCACCCATGACCGCGACAGGTGTCATGCCCAGATGGGCTGCCACCTTCTGCTCCACGAGGTAGAAAATGTATTCATCATAAAGCAGGCGGATGAGATGGAAGCTGCCAAAACTGGCAGCAGAGCGCAGGGTCAGGTCACGGATAACCATCGAACTAAAAGGAGGCGCGAAAGGAGAGGCGAAGTTAGTTAGCGAATTCAGGTGAGGGGTGGGGGATAGTGAGCTAAAGAGCGCGATGCATTACCTGTAGAAGGACCACTTGAGAACAAGTTGATGAGCGGCTCGTGTGTAGGCCAGATTGTTGCCCTCCAGGGGACGCAGGATACCCGTCACGACGGTGTCAAGCCACTGAGCCCACTCCTCCAGACTGGACTGCTTCTGGAGAATGTACTTGAAATCCTGCTCCAGGTGCGCCACAGTCGCATCACTGCACTGACACACCCAGGAGGCTTGTTCCTAAAATGGCAAAAAATGAGAATACTTTTCTATCCCCCCCACCACTACCAACACCACCACCCCCCCCAGGGAGATCGGGCCTAACCTGAACATTGTTGAAATCAACGCGACTCAAATCAATCAGCATCTGGTTGATTTGACTGGAATTTTTGAGAACCGCTCGTGCTGCCTGTGCGAGATGATTGAGGCTAGTGTATCTGCGCAGCGTCTGAGCCAGAGCCGAGACGGCGGAGAGTTTAAGGCGAAGGAGAACCGGATCAAGCTGCTGCAAGGCATGGCGCATCCACATCTAAAACGTGAGCGAATACTTTCATAACGATGGCTGGCAATAGGAATACAAGTGATAATTGCGGATATCAGAAATTTATTGATGGTGTAAAATAGAACGAATAAGAGGAATCAGTAGACGTCGTAAGCAAAATCAGCAGATCGAAGGGGCCAGATAAAATTCCACGTGAGACCAAGACGAACCGCCTTGTAGTTCAGATGGATAGTGTTGGCTGTACTAAAGCCTATCCTTGCTAGCGTGGGTTCGAATCCCAATGAGGCCGTCGATGTTTTCACAAGTAGGTCAAATGAAGCGTTGAGATTACCCAGTTTGCGTCCAGGTACCCTAACGATTGGCCTATCGAAATAGCTACTACTGACTGCGAACTAAGGGATACCCGTTCGACTGAATGAAAGTTTAAAAGGTCTCAAGTTGTAAGACTAGTCTCAAAATATTATTAGCAAATAGGGATGGAAATGCTAATCTGTCAGAGACCTATACACGGTGATCGTGGTGGGGCCCTGTGTTTTGTCACCTGGCAGACCCGGTAACGAACAGGGCGTACGATGGGCACATCTCCGACACTCGGTGATGTTCTCGTGACCTCTGCGATCTTCTCCTCGTGTGACCATTAAGATAGTGATAAAAACCACGATGAGATCCTCCTGAAATGCTTCAAACACTTTCAACAGCAGGCCATCCGATTAGCGTATACGCTACCCCCCCCCTCCCCC